CTAATAGTCCTTCATCGAACCCAAAACTTACAATTTGTAAAAATCTCATCGTTTAGCTATAATATGTATAGGGTGTCACAAAAAAAGTTATGATAAAGGTTAAAGTTTTTTTAAATGACACCCATTATTTTTCTGTAGTTAATCTATGCCTGGTTTTAAGTTGGATTTAGCATAAAATTCTGCATACCGTGTGAGTTTTAAAAGGGTCTCACCCCTATAACTATTTTATTTCTTTCAGATAAAAAACGAGATTTGGTATGTTAGTATATGACATAGATTAGGATTGACTGACGTATTTCAATTCTTTTCGACCACTTCCTGTTTCACCGGAAATTACTATAACTTTTGATTTTTAAATGATACCCTCCGTATTTTTTTACTTTATTCGATAGAAAATGACACTTTGAACAAAATGACATATCATATGTCAACTTTTCTGACATTTTCGAGTAAAACAAAATTGTATTTTAACCAAAGAGCCTTGCAAAAATAGATTTGATAGTCTAGTGTTTTTAGTGTCTTATCCTGGCAGGTTAAAATGTGCCCAAACCGTATTTTTAATCATATCTCAATTTTTTCAAGTGGAACGAGGGTGGCTCATTAGCATATTTGGATGAAGTATTTTTTTGACGAATAGTTTGGTACCACACATTGGTACCAAGTATTTCCGGTCAAATTGTCGTTATGAATCGCATATTACAATTTCAAATAAACCATATTCGAAAATGTCAAAATTTGATATATGATATGTCATTCTATTCAGAGTATCATTTTCTAGCGAATAAAATAACAAAATACCGAGAATGCCAATGCATTAAAAAATCAAAAGTTGTAGTTTTTTTCGGTGAGATAAGTGATCGAAAACAATTAATTGTATACGTCAATCAATCCTAATTAATGCCATATACCAACATACCAAATCTCGATTTTTTATCTGAAAATATAAAAAATTATAGAGGTGAGCCACTTTTGAGACACACTAAAACTTTGGGTAAACACACTATATCTGAAAAGTGGTTAAAAGCTGGAGTGAATATAACTTTATTAATACTTAGCTATATTTTCCTGTAACAGAATAAACTCGCGATAGTCAGCGACAGTGACAAATTTAAATAAACTTTAGACTACCTTATTTCCAGCCAGTACTATATTTTCAGAGATTGATGAGAATTTTAGGTACTCTCTCAATTATTGGATTATTCATGTATTAACTAACCAATTTTAACACTTACAATGAAACGTTTTGAAATCTAAATTAAAATATCTTAAATAAAAACTGACTAAGAATTAAATTACTATAATAATAGCAGACAACGACGCAATGACTATTATATATTGGACGAGCATACAAAGATTAACCGTTAATTCGTCGAATAAAATTCTTAACGATTCAATTAAAATTTCTTTACGCTCGAACAACGTTACCGAACACCTCGGAGAAAAAACCACGTTTTATTAGGAATTTTCTTCACAATACGCAAAAATAATTAACTGTTTCTCGCTTTTTTTCAAGGCCTTCTATCCGCAGAGGCTTTTGTTATGAGCAACGATTTGTTTTTATCCGGTACAGTAAGAAAGAACCTATTGTGTTTTACGATAAATTCCTTTCTAGTCAATAACATACCTGTTTTATGCTTTTATATCAATATTTCATTACGTTAGAAAATTACTACAAATTTAAAATTTATTTCTAGGTTTAATGCACCTGTAACGTTTGTGTTACAGGCCTTTGATATGCAAGCTCAACAGGTAAAGCTGATAAGACGCCTTGGAATAGATTAAACTCGAAGTTTCTTCCCTGATCTGAATGGAGCTCTATGGGAACACCAAACATACAGATCCATTCTTTAACAAAGGCATCAGTAATGGTGGATGCCCGTTGATATGGCAAACGCGTAAGCCTCAACCCATTTGCTGAAGTAATCCATTACTACCACGAATATACTTGTTGCTGTGGTTTGTCTCCGGGAGAGGACTAGCCATGTCAATCGCTATTCGCTCGAAGGGACTGCCTATATTATACTGGCGCATTGGAGCTTTACGGTTCTCTCGTGGTCCATTGGTGACAGCGTAAACGTCACATTTCTTGCACCTTTACGTCTTTTTTGCAGTTCACCCAATAGAACCATTCCCTCAGCTTGCCAAGTGTCTTTGCAACACCAAGATGTCCATCGCCGGTTTCACTGTGAACTTGCTCCAAGACTTCCGGGACTCTCTTCTTTGGAATGACAATCTGCTTCTTCTCTTCTCACCCCTTTGGTCTCTCGATCACACAGCGAAATAATCCGGCATCCACTACCAAGGAATTCCACTGGGCCCAGTACGACTTCACATTCGGCGAATGTCTGCAAACTTCCTTCCATGTTGGTCTCCGATTTGCGTTCTTCTAGTTAATAATTAAGCTTAAGTCTGGATCATCGATCTGGTCCTTTGCAAGATCTTCTGGTTGCCAAGTATCATTAACCACAGTCGTTCTTTGGAGTTCCGCTGCTTTCTCTTCTGCTCGAGAACAATGCTTATTCTCATTAGCGCAAGGTCTTCTGGAGAGTGCGTCGGCATTTCGGTGGATTGCCTCAGCTCGATGTTCTGTGTCGGTGTCAAATTCTTGCAATCGTTCGATCCATCTAGCTAACAGCCACTTCAAAGCAGCATAGTCTGTTCTTAACAAGAACTTTCTTCCATAGAGGTACTTGTAGAAGTATTCGACTGCTTTGCCTACTGGTAGTAATTCTCGTCTGGTCAAACAATAGTTCCTTTCTGGTTTTGACAAGGCCTTAGTGAAATATTCAATTACTATATTTATTATATTTTTATTAATAATGAATATTTTTTTCAATTAGAAGAAAAAATGGTAGGACACATTTTCTGTCAGATAGAGTGATATACCTATAAGTATATGAATGAGATATTCATTCTGTCTGTAGTGTAAATGAGAAATAAGACAATGTAAGTTCAAAATAACAGTATTTTTTCTAGCATCTTTAAACAAATCTTAAATTTCTACACTTGTTAAGGTAATGCAAAATACATTCACCTCTGGGAGAGGGCTAGCCACGTCAATCGCTATTCGCTCGAAGGGGCTGCCTATATTATACTGGCGCATGGGGGCTTTACGGTTCTTTCGTGGTCCATTGATGACGGCGTAAACGTCACATTTCTTGCACCTTCACGTCTTCTTTGCAGTTCACTTAATAGAACCATTCTTTCAGCTTGCCAAGTGTGTAGTAACACCAAGATGTCCATCGCCGATTCCACTGTGAACTTGCTCCAAGACTTCTGGGACCCTCTTCTTTGGAATGACAATCTGCTTCTTCTCTTCTCGCCCCTTTGGTCTCTCGACCTCATTGCGAAATAATCCTGCATCTACTACCAAGGAATTCCACTGGGTCCAGTCCGACTTCACGTTCGGCGAGTATCTGCAAACTTCCTTCCATGTTGGTTTCCGGTTTGCGTTCTTCCAGTTAATCATTAAGCCTAAGTCTGGATCATTGATCTGGTCCTTTGCAAGACCTTCTGGTTACCAAGTATCAATAACCACAGTCGTTTTTTGTAGTTTCGCTGCTTTCTCTTCTACTCGGGAACCATGCTTACTGTCATTAGCGCAAGGTCTTCTGGAGAGTGCGTCGGCATTTCGATGGATTGCCTCAGCTCGATGTTCTGTGTCGGAGTCAAATTCTTGCAATCGTTCGATCCATCTAGCTAACAGCCACTTCAAAGCAGCATGGTCTGTTTTTAACAAGAACTTTCTTCCATAGAGGTACTTTTCTCGTCTGGTCACACAGTAGTTCCTTTCTGGTTTTGACAAGGTCTTACTGAAATGTTCAATTACTATATTTATTATATTTTTATTAATAATGAACATTTTTTTTCAATCAGAAGAAAAAATGGTAGAACACATTCTCTATCAGATAGAGTGATATATAAGTATATGAATGAGATATTGTAATGTAAATGAGAAATAAGACAATGTAAGTTCAGAATAACAGTATTTTTTTCTAGCATCTTCAAACAAATCTTAAATTTCTACGCTGGTTAAGGTAATGCAAAACACATTCACCTTAATTATATATGTAAATTCATCAAGAACAAATTCTAATCCAATTTAAAGTAGGCCCGAATTCGAAGAACCTCACTTAATTACAATATAATGAGAAAGAGAATCCTTGTGG